GTCTCTAACCATTGGTGACTTTCGTCTCGCGGACCCCAACCAGGTAGCCTACATCTACCAACATGACTCAGTCCACTTGTCAGTGACTTTATGGATTGGTTATAATAATGTTTCTATTAAACCAATCGGGTTCTCTTCATTAAAGTGGATTCACTACAATATTTCGATTCTCCGTTTTTTTTCTCTCTCCTCCCGTCTTGCCTTAAAGTGAACTTAATATTTATTTGTGTATGACAGAACATGTATAATTTTGATGAATGGAAATATTATTGAAATTCTGGAATAGCATTGCATTTCTGACGTGGCTTGAAATGGTTTCTTCACACTGTTTATGTATGAATAATATGTCTCGGAAACATTCCCAAAGAAGTAGACCTGTCCAATTTTCGTCTATTTTTAAATTTTCGTTTCCAATATTCCACTATCTACACGTTTTCACGTTTACCTTTTGAGACATACTAGGAATATTCAAATTTTTCTTAATAAAATTGATAATGGTATCATTTTCAATTATTTGATATTATTCTCATTTCATGTTTTTGATCATACATGATGATTGAAGTCAATACATATTTGCGTTCAGTTTGAAATCGTAGATGACTTAGTGATTTATGGTAAATTTCTGTTACTTCTAGTTGGTGAGGTATATAAGTATCTAAACGGAAGTTAGTATCGGTGTTAGACAATTATAAATACATTTGTCTGAAATGAAGTGAAAAATATAATTTTTTCGCTTAACTTCCATTGTTTGTAACTCTTTGTGTTCCTTGCAAAACAGTAGAAGTATGACTGACATTTCCAGCTGCAACAAACACTTGAACATGTTATGAATATTCAAAGTTTAACAACATTTTGTCCGTATTATCGTTCAGATAGAGGATACGCAATACTAAGTCACCTTAAAAGTCTGGAATAAAGATGATCCAAGTTATATTTGAACGATGGTTGTGATGTTGAGGAGGAAGTGAGCTAAGTTTGGTAGTTGATGTAAGGGGATGAGCAGCTCAGGGTAGCCACAGGTGATCTGGTATGAATGCGTGACTGAGCACAATGAATCAGGGTAAGTCTAGTAGAACTAATGAGATCAGTATCAGATTGGAACACTTACAAAATTATTAATTTTGCGGATTTATCTACGTGTACAGGATTATATTTAGTTTCAATTAATTTGAAGTTCTATTAGTCTACACATGGTATTTATATAATAGTCTGTTCTACTGCTTTCATTACTGAAATTTTAAGTATTTAATTAGTTATTGACTAGTTAGTAATATTTGCATATGTAATTCACCTGACCAAAGATACAAATTTATTAGAAAGCTTACTTGCTTACTTACTTATGCCAGTTACCCCTTTTGGAATATAGGCCGCCGACCAGTAAACACCAACCGACTCTGTCCTGGGCTACCCTTTCCAATTCTGTTTGATTTTTGTTCATTCTTCTCATGTCTTTCTCTATTTCTCAGTGTAATGTGTTCTTTGGCCTTCTTCTCCTTTGATCTTGAGGGTTCCAAGTGTGTGTCCTATCTACTTCCACCGCATCTTCCTGATTTCCTCCTCTGCTGGAATCTGGTTTGTTCTCTCAAACAGTAGGTTGTTATTAAAAAGCTAGTGAGGTATATATGAAGGGCGTATACATATAAACTAATATACATACAACTAGTACTTACCAATGTCAAGTGTCTTCCTAGCATTTATTTCATAACACAAATTACACAGCAATTGCATTTCTAAACTGCAAATAAGCATTTCTGACAGTGAATGTTCGATAGTCTTCTACAATACAACAATAGTGAAAAAAATTCTTGAGAAACAAAAATTGTGATGATTACTTGTATTAACCATCTTTGTGCTTCTGACAGACGTAGTGAATGATCACACATATATCGATGGAGTTTGTTTGCGATTTCAGTGCAATAATATCTAGTCGTTGATTTGTTAGGGATTATTAGTTCAGTCATTGTATGTAATGAGCACTGAATATGTGTACTGTCAAAATGAATCTATTGAAAGAAGAGAGTATAGATGAAGAAAAAGATGTACTGCAATGTGACATGAGAAATATTTGATGATTCATGCTGAGATTAACTATTAAACATTTGCTTATGACAACTTTACTGCACTGAAATCGAAGCAGAGATATGGACACAACATACATCGATCTCATGGGATTTTGGAGTTCTAGCTAATGAAGCCTGTTCCCCTATTTGACACAATGTCCGAACATTAAAAGCTCCTATATGTAACTTAGTACTGGGTTTCAAGAGACTAGGAATAATGTTTGATGCGCTCAAACCGTTTGCTTAGTGGCGTGAGGTGCTAAACGATCGAAATAAGGGTTGGTTGAGGAGATAAGAGAGTTATTAAGAGGTGTAGAGAGGATTTGATTGCGACCAATTTTGTCTCGTGTTCTTTATGCGTATGAGGGCGATTGTTACTGCCCGGCTACCCACATCGTGGAAGTTTTCTGGTTGTCAGAAGGGGCATCGGCCTCATGACTTCCGAAGGAATTCGGCTTTTATCATGAGACGTCATAATTCTTCTAAAAGAAGACTTTGTAACTCCCAGAGCAGAGTTTATATAGTTTGAATTATTTTTTCTTGTTAACGTTTTTTAGCTAGTTAATTTTCGCGAGACGGGGTGGCCAACCCCAATACATACCCTCCTCCTTTATCCGGGCTTTGGACCGTCAATAGCCCCGAAGGGTCTACAGGCGGAGTTGACCATTGGTTGTTGTTTATTGCTATGCGCATTAAATATAAGTGCATGCTATATACTTACTAGGTTGCTGACTCACTTTTCTCTTGTTTTCCTTGTCAGTTCTTCCCACTTACCTCACAATCATCCACCTGAGCCACAAATTTTCCCTACCATCTCACTCTCTATGCACCTCCCATGGTACACAAAGTACTTTCAAGCTAGACGTTCACAGATAGTCAGACTAGCATATACAGGATTTTCATTATCTGGAATAAATCAATCCAATTCACATATATATAAATTGCACTTGCTAATCATTTTTACTTCAATTTTACGTAAATGAATAAATTCATGTATGTTATTAGATAAAGTTCATCTAATGCTTCCTATGAATTTTATTAAATATGCACTTTGTATTGAATCAATGTGTATATGCACTAAATGAGTAACATTAATTTTTATTCACGAAAATAAATATTAAACAGTTTATACCAAACGTTCTTTCTTATAATAAAATAGAATTTGTTAACATTTTGTTATTCATTCATTTGTAGTTTAGTTGGCTGATTATGGTGAAGTTTTGTTCTCTGAGCTGGATGTTTCGGTTGTGCAGCTTTCATCGTCCCTCTGAACAATATCATCAGTACAAACTTCATGTAGAAGGGAAGTATTCAGATTTCACCACATACAACTCGTATCTTGATTGTCTTGTTGACCTCAATCCTGATTGGTTATTGTTGTCCTTTAACCTATCGTTATGTGAATCTATGACCTACGAGTCATACGTAGAGAATTACGAATACTTCACTTCTTCTGCCTGAAGTTTGTGTTGATTACATTGTTCAGATGAAAAATGAAGGCTTTTACCAACAAAATATCCAGCTGAGAGAACGAAACTCCATCATATGCACAACATCAATCTAGTAATTCAGATTACTAGCATAGTATACATCAAGTCGAACAATAAATAGCTGCCAAATATATACATCATCATGACTTAGTCAATCTTCAAATAAACCAACAGTATCAAGAAGATTGTAAAAACGGATTACATGTGTAAACTTCAGAAAAAAGATAGTATATTATAGCAAATAAGAAATAATTGGAATCTACTTTACATTGCCTACTAGTCTGACATTTTCCAACTAGTAATGGCATGATAATGGCTAAGATTTAGCTTCACTTTTTTATAAGACACTCCATTGGTTAAATACATCGCCAAAGTTTCTGAGGGACATGTTCATTCATGTACAGGTATTGCTCAATTCAATCAAACTAGGAATTACAAGTGGTAATGGGGCAGAACAAATTACTTTTAAATTCTCTGACTGCATTTTTGAACGCAGTCAGCTACAAAAATGCCACTAGGAACAGTTTATTTATAAACAAATTCCCTGTGAGAGTGACAATACTTGAACTTGAAATTCAATTTGTAACAGAGTGATTATTCTAGTTCAAAATGTTTTTTTTTCACCTCATAAATTATTGAATTTTTTATCTAAATGAAATCCATGTTAGTCAGTAAGATTACTATTAAAACTATCAATATTATTGGACTATAGAAATAAGGAGTACAAACGAAGAGATATGAAAACATTTCTTTGGTTTGTTGGTAAAAATACTAGATTGAAATCACTGTCAGTTTTATTAACTGTTTAATAATTTCACAAAACACAATTAAATGAATATGCTTATTACAATTACTAGAAGTGAACATCAACTTTAAGATGCAGGTACATCTGGCTGACGAATCTCAAATAGGACGAAACATATGTCTTGTATTACACTGCTAGACACAGCTTATATATTTTATGTTATTTTATTTAACGAGTGATAATAAACTGATTGAAATCATAAATCGATCCATGTTAGACCACCGTTAGGAACTGTTATACTCGTCGATTGATATGCTTGAAACTATTACGAGTTCACCTTACTTGGTAAACGGAGCGCAGACAAAATGATGCAGTGGTACGATAGGCCACTCTAATCCAATTACTTACGCCTGTTACCCCCAATGCAGCATAGGCCGCTCACCAAATTTCTCTAACCAACTCTTTCCTGGGCTTCCATCTCCAGTTCTGTCCAATTCTTGTTCATTCCACTCATATCTTTCTCTATTTCTCGGCGTAGTGTGTTCCTTGGCCTTCCTCTTTTCCTTTTGCCTTGAGGATTTCATGTGAAGGCTTGTCTCGTGACGCAGTTGGGTCCCAGTCCCCATTAACTAAAGGAAGAAGTCTTGATCAGCATAAGAGACTGTATTCTACAGGCACCCAGAAGGTTGAGGTTTCCAAACACACAACTCAAGCCTATTTACACAATAGTAAAACGACCTTGGTGAGAACCACAAAATAGCGAACTAAAATAATCCACCAACCAATGACAGTCAAGAGTTTTCCAAGTGGTGAATGTAAGTTGAAGGCCAACTGAGCAACTTATGCGCAAAAACATAAAAAAAAAATCAAAATTTCAGAAATAAATTACAAAATCAGGACCTTTTTCAAGTAAGTTCTAGGGATCTAACATCCCCAACAGAAACATGGTGTGAGACTCATCAGTAGTGCAACTTGCAGGATTCAAATCCAGCATCTTCATTCTTGCGCGCGAATGCCTAACCTCTGAACCTCTGGTGGTCTAACATCGATCATTTGGTTATTTCGTTAAAGTAACAGTTATCTCCACAATCCCATCAATCCCAAATTAACTTTCTAGCAGTCATTTAACATTGATCAATTTATTATTATTTCTATAAAACCATTGAATGAAAAATAGAAACCATCAGTTTTAAACAAATTTGAATTCAAGATTAACTATTCAATAAATGAAATCTATAACTGAAGAAAAATATATCATTTAATTACATTCAAATACTAAAATATAATCCGTGTATTTCAATTTAGGTACAAATAATTTTGAAGTTGATAATGGAATATCAGTTGTTAAATATGGATGTGTAGGATAAATTATTCTCGGTGTAATTATTGATGAACAAACAGGTGTTAAATTTAAAAAATAATCCTCTTTTAAATGTTTCAACATAACCACAATGAATAATGCGAAACCTTTTGCTTGTCGTGTAAATGCTACAGCTTGTAATACAGATTTCTAAAATAGAAATAACAGGAGAAAAAACGTAACGTTTATATTATGTTCAATTGTGATGTGAGCTACTTATAAGTAGTATATGACGTGAGTGTCAACGTAATATCTGGCAGCAGAAGATGAGGGAAGATCAAGAAAGAAAGAGTGGGAACACAATGGTATTTGTATGAAACGCATGAACAGTGAAATGTCAGACAATGGATTGATGTTTGCAACAGGAACAGTCCAGTTTGATATGATGGACTGATATTTTGCAAATTACCGATTTACGATATGGTTTTCCAATTTTACTGAGTAACTCTGTAATTTCGTCATATACAATTCGGTTTCCCCACCTGTGTTCTCGTTCACTACACAATATATTCGAGGTGATATCTTCAAAGGGAACTGTCAACTATGGAAACGAGTTCATGATTATATAAATATTCTCTATTTCGAGATCTACAGATATAATATATGCGTCACTTCGTAACAATAACAGTTAACCAATAAGAAAGAATTCTAAGGAATATAACATTAGAACAAACAGATTTCAAAGTTATATACTACTACTGATCAATAAGTCATATTGGCGAAACATTATGATTTCAAAATCTAAAATAGTAAGAATCCATAATTCACATGTAAAATGACGATAGGTAGAGTTAGTTGATAGGAAAACCTGGACCTAGGTTACCTGCTATGAATAGCACTCGTTAGTAGGTTGAAAAACTATCCTCTACTGACCACCATCACCTTACTTCTGAACATAATGTAGAAGATGTCAAGTTATTTGGATTATCTGTCATATTCAAATTGGATTAGTACGAAGAAGGATAAAGCACACATGACATTGATCACTATTCAAAAGCCAACCCATACAGATCTGTTTTTCAACTCCAGTAGCAATAACCCAAGAACTCACAAAATCAGCTGTGTCCAAACTTTGATCGAGAGAGAGAAGACACACATCAGCACACATGAAACATAAAAAGACGAAGAAAGATGTACGTCATCTTCCAGAAGAAGGGTGACGCACGCAACTTCATCAAAAAATATCAACTGAAACCATCAACAGAAGCGAAATCAAGTACAGGAACCAACAAACGGATCATCCTGCCATATATAAAAGACATATCTGACATAGAAGCTCGATTACTGAAACCGTTTGGAATAGGTTTAGCAAACAAACTATCGATCAATCCTATGTAAACCAAAGGACGAAATGACAAAGGAAGAAAAAGCAAATATAACTTACAAATTAAACTGCTCAGACAATCAGAAACAGTTTATAGGACAAAGTGGACATCCTCTTCAGCTTCGTCTACGTGAACATCAATCAACAGTCAAACGACAGGACACTTCTTCTTTTATATCAATACATACGGGGAATTACGGACATGCATTCGATTGGAACAATGTTGAAATACTGGTAAGATTAAGTACTAAGAACATTTGAGAATTTTTAGAAGCTTGGAGCTCTAGTCAACAAGCAACCAACAAATACATCGACAGTGACTCAATTGACCGACCAATTAGAAAAACCATGGACAACCATAGGATACAGAAACAGATCATAGGAGAATAAAATCAAATAGGGAGGCTGACAACGACAGGTTTATGGTCAATAAGATCTATGTCAACAGAACAAGCTAAGAGTCATATGTGGAGAAATTCGAATACTTCACTTCTACCTGAAGTTTATGATGATGCTGTCTTCTGGTGAACAATGGAAGCCCTACAACAAAAAACAACCAGCTCAGAAAACGAAACTCTATCGCAGTCATCCACCTGAGCTACAAATTTTCTCCATCACCTCACAACTATAATAACTTGAGGTCAACGGACTAAGATGATGGTCTACAGACCAGTTAGGAGAATAGAGCGATGTTGATCCAACCATCAATCATTAGTCTGAAAAACAAAAATTGCTATCATAAATGAGACGTGTATACTGTACACAACATCGAGAAGCTCTATTCAGAATGTCCATTAAATTCATTTTAATAGCAGTGCGAAAAGCAAGGACGGCAAAGTATTCACCAACACTTAAAGGAACTCTTTAATCGACCAGCTCCACTGAACCCACTCATCATCCAAGCAACATCTACGGACCTCCCAATCAATGTTGGTCCACCAACAATTGAAGCGATTTGTATGGCCATCAGACAAATCAAGAGCTGAACAGCAGTTGGACAAGACAACATTCCAGCAGAGGGAATGAAAGCAGACGTGGTAGCAACTGTAAAAATTTTCCACCTTTTCTTCAACAAGATTTTCGGTGAAGAACAAGTACTAACAGACTGGAAAGAAGGATATCTGATCAAAATACCAAAGAAAGTTGATCTCAGCAAGTGTGAGAACTACAGATCCATCACTCTTCTCTCAGTACCGGGCTAAGTTTTCAGTAGGGTATTGTTGAATAGAATAAAGGACCTCAAGATCAACAGTCTTGATTTCGTGAGGATCGATCGTGTACCGACCAATTCGCAACATTACAGATCATTGTGGAACAATCAATTGAATGAAACAGCTGACAGCTCGTTCAAGAATGTTCATTTACAGTCTTGGGAGATTCTTCCGTGAAAACCAACTGTAAACAGAATATTTGCTGATCTTAATCGACAAATAATATTTGAACTAAATGACCACCACTTGAGACACGTTTATCTCCCAGATTATTTATAAATCTGTTAGGTTTTGTATGAATTGTAGTGATTTACATTTTAGAAACATCAAAACTGTTGGCTTGTCTTTCAACTGAAGAACATCAGAAATTCAAAACAACTGTCAACCAACAGCAAAGTCAAAATTTTCCAAACGAACTTCAAGTAAGTTTTTTTATGGAGCAGAAAATTGGAGAACCACGAAAGCTATCATCCATAAGATGCAGATAGTTATCAGCAGTTGTCTGCACAAGAAACTTCGGACCCGTTGGCCAGACATGATCAGTAATAATCTACTGTGGGGGAGAACAAACTGTCATCCCGCTGAGTAAGAGACTGAGAAAAAGTGCTGGAGGTGGATAGGATACAAAGTGCTGAGACTACTCGACCTCGTCACGAGTCAAGCTCTAACTTGGAATCCTCAAAGCCAAAGGAAAAGAGCAAGATAAAAGAACACAGTACTTCGAGAATCGGAGGCACACAGGAAGAATGAACATCATTTGGATAAAACTGGAAAGGTAGGCCAAGGAAAGAGTAGGCCAAAGGAAGCTGGTCAACAGCCTATGCTCCACTATGGGTAACAGACTTAAATAAGTAAGTAAGTAAGTACTAAATGTTGGCTATATATGCATAATTACCTGCTAAGACTGTGTGCCACAGTATGGGTAGGTAAATCAAATCCTACAACATGTGTTTCACTTCATTTCATTAGTATTTTGACAGTCAGATTCTAATTATTACTTCGATGATACTGGATATATTCTACCTTTGTGAGAAAAGCCTTTGACTTACAAATATGTATTATTTTTAAAATCTAATCATAATATGATATCATAACAAATGAAAATTGTCGATAATCATTTACTGACATATGTTTCTAAGATATACAAATATATGTACAAATAAGTCATGACAACATTGAACGCTTTAAAAAACTCAATAATGAAATTGAACAATGAACTCATTTCTCATGAAATTATTATTGAAGCTGAGTAATATCGTTTTTAAATTTGAATATTGATGATTGATGAATTAGAAAAAATTACTTGAAAAAAAGCATATTATTATTTAATGTACAATCACTTGCCTGATCAAGAGTTAACGGTTCCATTGTACCCCATTTCATACTAGGATTTTGACGTAAAGTTACTAATTTTCGAATAAGAATAAGTATTGATTGATCACGTCCTTCAGCAAGTTCAGTCTTTTTGAGAAAAAATAAGATTAACAAAACTTAATGAAAATTGAAAGAGAATTGGATAACTCAGTTATTGACATCAAATAACAATAATGATGTTTCAATGTGATGTTATTGATGATGAAGAATGCTTCCTTTTATTTCTAACAAAATGTTCAATATCACATTAGGCATTTATGTGAATAAGAATATTGTGGGGTTGTGGAGATTGTTGAGTGATTTAATGAGTCGATCATGAATCAATCAAAGTTAGACACCACCATTAGAAACTTGGAAGCACTGGACGGTCATTTCGTCATGGTATGGGACTCATCAGCAGTGCGCATGCTCGATTACAGCACCTTGAAGTTAAACATTAACACCTGTAGAAACCGGTTCAGTGATTCAGAGGTTAGGCATTCACGCTCAAGACTGAAGGATCTGGGTTCGAATCTTACTAGGTGCAGGAGTCGTGGATGTGCACTGTTGATGAGTCGTGTTCCAGGATGAAATGGCCGTCCAGTGCTTCCAGGTTTCTAATGGTGGTCTAATAATGATCAATTTTTGATTTCATTATGAATAAGGATATATCAAATCAATTCAAAATTGAGCCCATTCTGTGATGAGTTTTACTCATGACCTTAGTGTGGGCGATTGGTAATTATACATTCTCACTATTGTTGGATTCAGACGAGGATCAACTTTGAAATACGTAAATATTTTGGAAATAACCTAAATTACCTCTTTCTGTTTGTTTAAAAGTGTCATTTATGTCTATTAGTTGCATAGTCTATTCAGGTAAGTATTTAAAATTTATACAAGCTATCGCTTCACAAGATACAGAAAAATACAAACCCTTAAGACATCACGGTGGCTGGCAATCAGGTGATAAAATAATGAATGTCAGTGAAATGTCCAGTCCAACTGACGATTGCTCTTTGTTTGTCAAAGAAACTTTCTGAAATATTACATACTGAGAATACCATATTGTACTAAATAAATAATAAGAATATTTGTTATTATCCTCAGAGCATAGTATAATTTCACTACGTGTTTGAGACTTCTAATCAGATTTATTTTATACAGATATATATAGCTACAGAAATAGCTATTCCAAAACATCCATGTATTCTTTATCTAAAAACTGCCAATCCTTCATGAAGGAATCGCCTTGGGATGAATATTAACATTAGTAATATGATTATGACACTTTACAGAGAATTATTCTCATCTTTTGTGATTGACCTTTCTCATTTACAAAATGATAATATTTATCCTACCTTTTAACGCATAACATTGTCAAATTTACTAACATGTCATTGTTTTTAGCCTTTACAATAAGATAAATATGAATGCATAATTTTATATATACTGATGGTAAGTGTCTTAAAAACAATTTTTCGCGCCAATATTCTTCGTTTTTGAATATTCGATGAATATTGAATATTCAACTGTTGAAGTACAATAAGAGTTTATCAACGTATCTCGTTTTTTTGAATTACTTGTGATTAAATTGTATGTGCAACGAATTGAATGAAGTAATCAAAGGGATGATTTTGAAGTTTTCCATGTTTACATTTCATCTCTTTCATTTAAACACATCAAGATTGTTACAAACAGGCACCTAAATAATATATGTGTACAAAAAAGTTATTGGATTTCTGTATGGAATGGGATATTGCGCGGAGGCCCAAGTTGTAGGAAATGGTTTTCTTTAGAAGTCATTCTTTGAGCCTTTATCTAAAATGTTTTATCCCAAAAGCAGAGGAACAACATTAGGATAGATGTAGTCCTCATGTTAATCAGTGACCAATTATAGGTTCATATGCCATTTATTCCATCAGGGTCCTGGAGCCAATGAGCGCAGTAATTGTGGGAATGAGGATTTTACAAGTGCCCTAGGTGAAATGTTCGTAACTACCAACACAATTAAAGCTCCGGATGCTCAATTTCCATCCTCTCACCTTTGTAAACAACCCGTCTGCAACTACGCGGGCAGACAGTGAGTAGAACTTACCTGACAGTGGCTTTCATTCATCACCATATGAGAGCATTTCCAGCAGCAGAGCGGTCTCTCTCTCTCTCTCTTTGCTGTCAGTCGTATCAGTGTATTTAAGGGTCTATGTTTCAGTATTTAATAGATATACAATAAATATATGAAAGTAAATATAATAAATACTCTTACTTCAACAACTTCCTTATTTTTATAAGCATTCAAATATTCATTAAAACTGCTACTGTTTATTTCTGATGAAAATCTTTTTCCATTAAAATCCCATGGCATTGGTAAATGAGCTAATACAGATGAATAATGATCAAATGGTTCATCATTATAAGTTTTTCCTTTTGGATAAATAGTTTTTGGAATATATTGATTAGTTATTCGATCGATACCGATTTCAGTTCCATAATAGATTATTGGTTGTCCTATAATGGTGAGAAGAAGAAGATGGGATGAAGAAGATTTGGGATGAGGAACAAGTACCATTAGATTGGAAAGAAGGATATCTGATCAAAATGTCAAAGAAAGGAGATCTCAACAAGTGTGAGAACTACGGAGGTGTCACTCTTCTCTCAATAACAGGCAAACTCTTCAACAGGGTATTGTTAAACAGAATGAAGGACTTCATAGACGCTCAACTTCGAGATCAACAGGCCGGATTTCATAAGGATCGATCGTGTACTGACCAAATTGCTACATTACTGATGATTGTGGAACAATCAATTGAATGGAACTCACCACTCTACATCAACTTCATCGACCACGAGAAAGCATTCGATAGCGTGGATAGGAAAACACTGTGGAGGCTTCTTCGACACTTCGGTGTGCCTGAGAAAATAGTCAACATCATACGGAATTCTTATGATGGATTCAACTGCAAAATCGTGCACGGAGGTCAGCTGACAAACTCGTTTGGGTTGAAGACCGGTGTGAGGCAAGGTTGCTTACTCTCACCCTTTCTCTTTCTCCTGGTCATCGACTGGATTATGAAGACGTGAGCGTCTGGAGGGAGGCACGGTATCAACTGGACAGTTAGGACGCAGTTGGACGATCTGGACTTTGCAGATGACCTGGCTCTTCTATCGCACACGCAACAACAAATGCAAGAGAAGACGACCAGTGTAGCAGCAGCCTCTACAGCAGTAGGTCTCAACATACATAAAGGAAAAAGCAAAATTCTCCGATGCAACACAACATGCACCAACCAAATCACTCTTGATGCAGATGCCTTGGAGGACGCTAACACCTTTACATATCTGGGCAGCATCATCGACGAGAAAGGTGGATCCGATGCAGATGTGAGGGTGTGGATAGGCAAAGAAAGGGCTGCATGTTTACAATTGAAAACTATCTGGAACTCCAAACAACTTTTAACCAAAACCAGAATCAGGATTTTCAATACAAATGTGAAGACAGTTCTACTGTATGGAGCGGAAACTTGCAGAACTACCAAAGCAATCATCCAGAAGATACAAGTATTAATTAACAAAATACAAATTGACAAAATACTTCGTATTCGTTGTCCAGACACCATCAGCAACAACGAACTGTGGGAGAGAACAAGTCAGATTCCAGTGGAGGAGGAAATCAGGAAGAAGTGGTGGAAGTGGATAGGACACACACTACGAAAAGCACCTAACTGCCTCACGAGACAAGTCCTCACATGGAACCCTCAAGGCAAAAGGAAAAGAGGAAGGCCAAGGAACATATTACGCCGAGAAATAGTGAAAGATATAAGAAGAATGAACAAATATTGGACAGAACTGGAGAGGGAAGCCCAGGACAGAGTTGGTTGGAGGAAACTGGTGTGCGGCCTATGCTCCATTGGGGGTAACAGGCGTAAGTAAGCAAGTGAGTACAATGGTGAGATAAATTAGTGCTAAAAAAAGTTGAGTGATTACATTTTTTACTTATTGAAACTATGACTTCATCAACAGTAGACCACCATTAGAAACCTTGAAGCACTAGACGGCCGGCCGTTTCGTTCTTCTATGCGACTCATCAGTAGTACACATCCGTGATTCGTGCAGCTCGCAGAATTAGAACTCAAGACCTTCGGTCTTGAGTGCAAATGCCTACTAACCTCTGGACTAATAAGCCAGTATCTACAAAGGTCCATCACACTTGGTAAAAAAATTCTTTGTTTTTAAAGAATTCATCATACTCACTGAAATATCATTACTGAAACAAACAAAGACATATCAGATATCGTTTGAAAACTGTGTTAAAAACACATGGTACTGTGGTATGGACATAAGTCATATCTGTATGAAAATATTAACACAGAGGAAACTAGTAGTCTGGTATTTTATCGATTGAATATAACAGATAACTGATAAAAAAAGTTATTTTGATAATCTATTTATTTTTTTATTTAATATGGGATTTATTAATCTGACCAATGCTAACATGATGATTACATTGTTTTTAAGTGTACTTTTTGCAACGAACAGTTTGTTTATGTGTGGTGTGAACTACTTATAAGTAGTATATGACGTGAGTGTAAACGTAATGTCTGGCAGCAGAAGATGGGGGAAGATCAAGAAAGCAAGAGTTAGAAAACAATGGAATCTGTATGAAACGCATGAACAGTAGTGACAATGGATTGATGTTTTGCAACAGAAACAGTCCAGTTCGATATGATGAACTGATATTTTGCAAATTAACGATTTACGATATGGTTTTCCAATTTTACTGAGTAACTCTGTAATTTGCGATAAATACAATTCGGTTGCCCCACCTGTCTCCTCGTTCACTACATATAGATCAGTCTTAAAAGCTTTTAACATAATCTCTTTTGTCCAACTTAACTATCTTACTAACAGATAATGAATGATTGGGAGAGTGGTGGTAATACATTGAATTTTTTATTCTAGAGTTATAAAATTAAAACAAGGATTTATGCAAAGATAATGTAAAACAGCATAGATAATATTTTAACCCTTTGATCATCATGTTCATATTATTACCTTGTAGTAATAATGTTGTTATGAGTTGAACATTATCTCCATTAGGTGGAATATTTGTAGTACTTGTTATTAAACCAAATTTCTCTTTATCCGAATTTGAATATGTGAAATATTTTTGTATAGCTGTTTGTTTAAATGAAAGTTCACGTTCTTTTTCACCTCGATTGTATACAAATTCACGACTGATTATTAAATCAACCACATCAGTGAACATTAACATTGGATCTGGTTTATCACCTACACCACAACCGGTATCACCTGAATTAACAGCTAATAATCTGTAGAAGATATTGTATATACAGAATAAAAAATGTGTCTGAGATTATTTTGCATAAACTATACGAAATACAATAAATTTAAGTCTAATGTCAACACTCCCTATCAGTCAGTCAGTCAGGTGCAACGTAGAACTTCGTACGTAAGTACATCAGTTCATGTCGCCATACCACATCAGCACAGAGAAGTAATTGTCAATTCAAATCCAATATCAGAAGAGGTAGTAAAAGTATTAAAAGTAATCGGAGAGATTAGGTTTCGAAGATGTTATTCAAGAAGTATGATTCAGTGAGATAAGTTTAGAAAGTCAAAACTAGAGGTGTTGAAGAATCCAGAAGATTAGGATTTGAGAGAGAACACAAAGAATAAATGCACCGGCGAAGTTCTACGTTGCACCTGACTGACTGACTATTGTGATAACAAAGTAGTATAGAAAAAGTTGACAATCCCTCTGATTTAACACCAAAGTGATCTTTGATCAAAGTTCAATGTCGACCTTGATTTCATTGATACATTTTAACAACATTAATTATCATGAATAAAAAAACAAACTTACTTTTCTTTTCCAGTTTTCTGAATCCACTTGTTTACCACTTTTCTGACACCTTCAACAAATTTCACACTTCCATTTTGATACAATTGAGAATTTGGACAATTTTCTAGCCATGCTGTTGTAGTAAGCTAAAGAACGATGAAAAAGAGAATAGCATGTATAGAGAGAGAGAGAGAGGAGTTATTGATGAATAGATTGAACTCTTCATAGACCTACTTTACTGTGTCTCAATTCTTTTATTTCAACAAAAAATGCAGCATTATCTAAAAGAATTCCGTCTATTCCTTCTTTCATCCAAAAATCAATTACATTCTAAAAGGAAAATATATATATAAATGTTTAATAAATATATTCATTGAAACTTACAAATATCTCACTCTGAGTATTAGAATCAGTTAAATTTAAATCTATACTTGGATATTCAAATACTGAATAATATTTCTGACCATTGACATTCAAATCTAATCTATTTCCATAACGTGATGTCTGTTTTTTTGTGTGTGTGTGAAAACAAAGTAATTGTTACCTTATTTTGAAAACTACTGTCAAACACAGTTAATTTGACTTTATTTTGTTCAATCCATTTATGATTAATAGTGATTGCATTGAAATCGAATGTCAAAATAACTTTTATACCTTTTTTATGAAACTGTTTTAAAAAAACACGAAAATCATCCATTGTACCAACAGCCGCATCTAGCTGCTTGTAATCTTCCACTAATCCAAGCATATTATATGAATTAGTATAAAATCCTTTTGTAATCGGACCTAATATCACGTATCCAGCACCGATTACAGTTTTAATATAATCAATTTCAGATGCAAGACCTATAAAGATTAGAAGTTTTTTTGATTGAAACAAACAAAATACTCATTACCATTAAGATCACCCACCAAATCACCAGAAGTATCTTTAAATGCAAATACATCTAACCAATAACCGACTGTTGATTTCCAGAATGGTAATATCGGTACATATGGACATTTTTCTCCATGAATTATGTAAACAATACATGTTAGTAAAAGACAAAAGAATACAGTTGCAAACGCAATTACCATTCCTATTCGAATATATTTCCAATGAGGTTCATTTTGGTCTAAATTCAATAAATCTTCACGTGTAAGTAAGCGACTCTCTGATAAAGATTCATTCATAGGTGACTTTGATGAATCATTGATTTCACTGTCTTTTTTTTCTGTCAATGTCTTTTTGACACTATCTGAATGGTCATGTTTTTTTTCATTGGTCTCTTCAACTTTCTGTTTTGCTCTGCTTTGTTTTAGCTTTTTGCGTTTGTCAACCAGATGCATACAATTATTCATTTTGATGATAAGATTACACGAACGATGTTTACTGTTAATATCAACATTTAAGTTCACTTTTTCTATATGCCATGATATATATATCTGTACTATGTTAAGTACAAATTGAAATCAAATATTTATCAAACTAAATAAACACCTATCCAGTTTATAACATTATCTCTTCCTTAATAATAATTGGATTGGTTGTGATTGGTTGATTGGTTGGTTGGTGCATTTTAAATTGATAATAATTTTGTATGAAAAGAAATACTTGGTCCAATGAGATGGATAGCTAAGAAGAATTCAAAATTGAATATAATTAACACATTTAAGTAAATCTTGTGAGTAATTAAACGCACTCTAAGATAGATAGATTCATTACTATTGATAAAAATAAATAATAAGTAGTGTATGAAATTACTTTAACCAAAATGAACTAACAGAGTGAAACTAGTGTAGTCAAAGTAGAAGATGTTCGTAGGTTACTAGTATTCGATCATGAATGCCTAAGAAGCATTACTCGTATATCGTGAGACAACCGAGTAAGCAATGCTGTCATTAGGAAACGACTACTAGGTAATGATGGCAGATCAATAGATGAAGTGTTGAAACTTCATCAGTTGAGGTGGTTGGGACATGTGTTACGTATGGCTAACCACCGACTGCCTCGAAGAGCTTTGTTTTGCGGTGTAACAGTAGATTGTAAGAAAGCTAGGGGCGGCCAAACCAAAACATGGCAGAAATTGAGTCATGTTGATAGATGTATACTACCTTGTTGGAGTCCGCGAGACGATAGTCATCAATGGTTAGAGACCTTGAACGACATGGCTCAAAATCGTTTGCAATGGCGCAAGTGCATCTATTCGTTGTGCTCTCTCAAATCCTAATCTTCTGGATTCGTCAGCACCTTTACTTTTGTCTTTCTAACCTTATATCACTGAATTATACTTCTTGATAATATCTTCGAACCCTCTAGTCTTCTTCATTACCATTAATACCTCTACTATCTCTATCACTATTGGATTTGATTTGACATTTGCGTCTCTGTGCTAATGTGGTGTGGCAACATGAACTGATGTACATACGTACGTAGTTCTACGTTGCAACTGACTGACTGACTGAGGTTAGTCAAAGAACTATATTGTTTTATTACAGATCTTTAATACTTCACAAATATAGTCATTACAAAATTAGATTGAACTATATTGAATGATAATAAAGCTTTCGATAAAGTGGCTGACGTAGGTTTTAAATTAAAAGTTGAAATTTTTGAAATCTATTATGCTATAAGAAAATGGATAACTGACTTCCTCAGTGATATGAAGGTAAATACGGTCTTATCAAAATGATATGCTCATTGATTGATATGCTTGAAACTATTACTAGTTCACTTTACTCAGTAAACGGAGCGCAGATAAATGATGCAGTGGCACGATAGGCTATTCTAATCCAACTTTCCCAGTCCCCGCTAGCTAATGGAAGAAGTGTTGATAAGGCACACAAATCGAGCTTATTTATGCATGACAGAAACGTCCTTGGTAGAGGCACAAAAATAGTCCATCAACCAATGACAGCCAACGATTTTCCGAGTGGTAAATGTAACGTAGCTAAGCCAACTAAGCAACTTATGTTCGAAAACATAAAAAATCCGAATTTCGGATCTCAACACAAAATGAGAATCTGTAAAAAGTGGACTTAACCTAGGTATTATCCTTAGCCTTATTTCGAACTTACTTTATATGAATGATTTAGCAGCATGATGAAGTTATTGATCCTATAGACAGGCAGATACAACGCAGAACTTCGTACGTAAGTACAACAGTTCAGGTTGCCATACCACATTAGCACAGAGACCCAACTGTCAGCTCAAATCCAAGAGTGATAGCAATAATAGAAGTATTAGCAGTAATGGAGCGAAGATATGATTCGAGAAGTTTAATTCAATGAGATAAGGTTAGAAAGACAAAGGTAGAGGTGCTGACGAGTCCAGAAGATTAGGATTTAAGAGAGCACAACAAACGGATGCACTTGCATCATTGCAAACGATTCTGAGCCATGTCATTCAAGGTCTCTAACCATCGGCGAATCTCGTCTCGCGGACCCAAACCAGGTAGTCTACATCTACCAACATGACTCAGTCCACTTGTCAGTGACTTCATGTATTTCTGCCATGTTTTGGTCCGGCCGCCCCTAACTTTCTTCCAACCTACTCCTACACTGCAAAACATAGCTCGTCGAGGCAGTCGGTGGTTAGCCATACGTAACACATGTCCTAACCACCTCAACTGATGAAGTTTCAATGCTTCATCTACTGATTTGCTATCCCTACCTAGAACTCGTTTCTTAACGACAGCATTGCTTATTGATCATATAAAGGAAGTTGATGTAAATGGCAAACTTATTTTCCAATTTGATATTGAATTTCTATTCACTTCGGTCTCAGTCACAGAAACCATCAATTTTATCTGAAAAATACATAAATGATAATGAGATTAATATCACACACTACAAGAATTTCATATAGACGAATTACTATCACGGTACACTTTCAATGTACAATTCACATTCAGTGATGTAATTTAGAAACAAAAGGACAACATAGCGACCGGATCTCCTGTTTATTCACTACTAGCAGTTTGTTTCACTGGAAACAATGTACTGAAAACAACTGTATTGACAACTTCCACTTACACAAAAGGTACTTAGATAATTTCTTTACCCTTTTTGGACAATAAATATGATGTGAATTATCTTTTAAAAACATTTATAACTTCAACATTGAAATTCGGCAACAAACAAAATATTCACTTTCTCGATGTGCTAAACAACAGGAAACACATTGAACTTCTAAGAAGATCAATTTACAAGAAAACCCACATGGAATGGTCGGCTCTCACAGCTGGTTGCGCATTAGTTCAAAGCAAAACCTAATTACATCCCTCTCTACTTCAATACAAAAAACTCACAGTCTCGAGGTCATAGATAACGCAATGAATCTTCCAAAATAAAATGCTTATCCTCCGAGATTTATTGATAAGAAGGTAAGGCTCATGTTTGCTGATGATAAGAAGATTTGGAGACTCACTTAATGCATTATAGGAAGACCTAAATTCACTGGTTGAATGGATATGTAGGTGGTCATTGAGAGTGAATCCTAGTAAAAGTGTAGTGATGCGTATAAATAGCTGCGATGATTTGTGCAACTACACAATAAGTGAAATGGTGCTACCTAAAGTAGTGAATAATAATAGAGATTTAAGTATCATGTCGAACAGTAATCTTCAAACTGTGAAAAATTGTAAGTCTTTCGCTGCCTTAGGTCACTGGGTCTTATCGGTTACTGGTAACTCATTTTATCACTTGAAGAAAGAAGTGTTTAGGGTACAACACCTGATGTTTGTGAGGCCGCATTAAGAATATAGGATTCAAGCAATGAGTCCTTGTTTTAATGAATGAGTGGATATGTTAGAACGAGTTCAACGACAAAAGACCAAAATTGGTAATGGTCTCACTGACCTGTCATATGAAAAGAGACTATTTTCGTCATCTTACTATAAATTACGGGGTGATTTATTACTGACTTACCGTTTACTGAACAATGATTTCGGCATTAATATGTTTTATCCTTTCCTTTCATCTGGGACTGCTCACTTGAGAAGATATCCTAAGGAATTCTAAAAACCTAGATCAAATCGTTGAGGTGTGGAGTTCCGTTTCTCGCATACACCAGTTAATTACTAGAATTCTTTCCACCTGATCAGTATTACAAAAACAGAGATACAAAAAATCTTCCTAAACATGATAATAGTGATACGTTATTTTGATTAGGGGAGTTAGGAATAATGTTGATTTTTCTGCTTGAATGTTGATCATAAACATTGATTCAGATATTGTAATCTGAAAGAGAAGGTTCTCCACAGCAACTTTGCAACTAGTTTTCTATAACCAACTAATGTTCAACAATAATCTGAAGATTGAAATCAATCATTGGTGAACCGCCATTAGAAACCTAGAAGCACTGAACGGCTGTTTTGTCCTGGTATGGGACAGTTCTGCCCAATTGTCATTCATTCTTTTCATACCTGTCTCCAATTCTCGATGTAATATTTTTTTTTGATTTTCCTCTTTTCCTTTGGACTTCAGGAATCCAAGTTAGGTCTTGTCTTGTGATGAAGTTGGGTAATTTCCGCAATGTGTATTCTGTTCACCTCTTCATCAGGAATCTGGTTTGTTTTCACGCAACACTAGGTTGCTGCTGATGGTGTCCGACCAGTAGATTCAGGGTATTTCACATAGTAAACTGTTCATAAACACTTGTATATTCCGGATGATGACTTTCGTAGTTCTTCAAGCCTCCGTACCAAACAAAAGGATTATCTCGACATTTGTATCGAAAATTGTGATTTTGGTGTTGGTTGATAGTTGTTTTGAATTCCAGATGTTCTTCAGTTGTAGAAATGAAGCACTTCGTTTTGCCGATCCGCTCCTTCTCAATCTGCATCAGATTCATCTTGTTTATTACTGGTGTTGTCCAAGTATGTAAACGTTTCCACATCTTCCAACGCTTCTCTGTCAAGTAAAATTTGGTTGATGCGTGTTGTTTTGTGTCTAACGATCTTAATTTTTCTCCTGTGTGTATGTTGAGACGTACTGTTGTCGAAACTGCTTCCGCACTAGCTGTCTTCGTCTACATTTGTTGATGTGAGTGCAATAGAAAGTCTTTGTATTTCTTTCACTGAAAACTATTTACTTCTTAAAACTTCTACACATCAATACAATAATCTAATTGTAGTTCTTTATATATATTATTTATAGCAGATATAATAATTCGTTCAGACAGACAACTTGTAATTTTACCTATTAGGTGTAGTTCCATAATCTCTAGTTCATTGTCATGAATGACTTATACTAAGTTGCCTTGACTGGTTGAACTTTTTCATGCAAATATTCAAATATATACGAAATAGTAAATAGTGACAATAATCTAATTGGTGTTGTAGTGAAGGAGAACACAGGTGGGGCAACCGAATTGTATTTAACGAAAATTACAGAGTTACTCAGTAAAATAGGAAAACCATATCGTAAATCGTTAATTTGCAAAATATCAGTTCATCCTATCGAACTGGACTGTTCCTGTTGCCAAACATCAATCCATTGTCACTACTGTTCATGCGTTTCATACAAATTCCATTTTGTTCTAACTCTTCCTTTCTTGATCTTCCCCCATCTGCTGCCAGACATTACGTTGACACTGACGTTATATACTACTTATAAGGAGCTCACACCACAGTGTGGTTCTAATAATATAAAAGCGTTGGCAAAACAATCAATAATAATTAATAGTCTTATCCCTCATATGGATAATGAAGACAAGTAGCATAGGTCATTAAACAATATCAGTAATACTGGTTAGTGCTATGAACTGTTACTTATATCTTTTCAATTAACGATCTCGCTGATGTGGCAGTCTAATCGATACTATATTTATCGAAGAATTTATTAATCGTTTTACTTGTATTGTTTAATGACTATATACAAGTTTATCTCTATCTCTCTTCATTTCTCAGTACCTAGTCGTTTCTTCATATATTAAGAAAAACCAATCGAATTTGAGTATCATTTTGTAGCCATATCACTCACTAGCAATGAGTTTTTAACAGTGTCGTTTTAAATTTATGATCAAAATAGAATACTACTCATATGATATTTTAGTATACATATTATCAACGAGAAATATCGTATGATCAAATGTCCGTCCATATTGCATACTGGGAAGAAATCCCTGTCTATCGACTGATGGTCTAACATTAATCGGCTTCACGATTTCAATGAATTATAACAATCATCAGTAATAGTTAGACTGTATTAGTTAGTATATTCCATATCTTTATACTGATGCTGATCAGTTGACCTTGAGATTTCAATTCCCACCAGGAAAATCCATGCCTTGTGATTGGCTGTTGTGTATTTTAGTGTGCTATTTTCTTAACTGTCACAAGGACGTTTCTATGATGTATAAATAAACGAGGGTTGTATGCTTGATGGTACTGTGATTTCTGGGTGTTTGTAGAATATACTTTTTACGCTTACAAAGCCTTCTTACTTTATTTGTGGATTCAAGGTAGCCTACCTGGACACTGGTAAAAGTCTTGTTCGCGTTTATCGACTAAGGTGAACTTGTAATAGCCTCAAGCATACTTAGTGACGAACCCAATAGTTGGATGAACTTAAGCGGTGACTAGTCAATAAACAGTGATAGACAGGCTAGACTTCTTTTAAAAGGTTATTTTATGGTTAGAATTCATTCCATTTATACTCCACTTTGAGCTGACTTACTATTCTGAATATATATACATACATATATATACATAATTAACTCTTTATCATCCTATTGATCTTTGACTAGATAAAAAGTCGACTATATCACATGATCCAATAGTGTGATTTATTGATTTGGTTCACAATCTAGTGTCAAGTTTTCTTATCGATCGACCTTTAGTTGCGTTGGATTGAGGAGATTATTTTCGTCTATCTGCATAGATGGGCTATGGTTAGCACGGGAATCAAGAAAACTCGTTTCGTCCTATTTCGGACTCGTCAGCTTTCATAACATCCTTATCCTTTAATTGTAATGGGAAATTTTCTTGTTAAACTGACCCTATTACAATTCTAGGGATGTATTTGATGAAATTCGACTGAAAAGCTGAAAGTGTTCGCTTGAACTCCGGTTTTCTTCTATATTCTTCCAAAACTTTTCGTAGAGTTAGGGGAAAATCCCCAGAGTTTCACATAATTATTGGAAGATTCAAATATGTTCGTTTCAACTGCACGATAATTTAAGTGATACATAATATACAGGATTTTTAAAACTGATCATTCACGAGGTAATTAATGACCAATATCAGATGCGTCAGATCCTACTTAGTGATGGTCAAATTCGATCGACCAAAGTGCTATGTGGCCACTAATCTGGGTGACCTGACTGACATTCATGTGCATTATGTTAGGATTTAAGTTGGTGGCTGAAAGTAGTTGACAGAAATAAACCCTAGATTTTTTTATTCGGTGCTTTTCAACATTCATCAGCGGATTCGATTCCGTGACACCCAGCCTTACAGGAATATATATATATATATATATATATATATATATATATATATATATATACATGACATTTTAACAATAACTATTTAAGCACAAGAATAATTAAGCAAATTTAGTTTGTCAATGAAAAGTTTTTGTCAGTGTGCATGTGTGTATTTGAAAATATTTCTAACTGTAATCATTTCTTCACAACAATTGTTAATCCATCTCCAAAGTTTAGAAACGAAAGTCGAACACGGTTATCTTTAGCAATCAAATCATTCATCTCTCGTATACCAACAGTTTCAGCACTATGATCATTCTCATCAATCACAAGTAGCCGCCGTAAAACCTTGAGGAGAAATTATGTAAAGAATAATTGTTAAGTGTAAGCAAATGGTACAATACGAATGTGCCTCATTAATATATCAGGAAAAAATCTCTATTTGTCAAATTTTAAAATAAACCGAATTGGACCATAGTAGGTGCCTTTTTAGTTAATGTTTGGATGTGCCTATTATATTGATCAATCAGTCTACATCAATAAAAAAAGCCTATGGTCCGACAGTCAAGTTGTACAGCGTTTTTTCATAGCAATAAGACAGTCTATATCCTGAGAAGAAGCTGATTTTCAACAATATGGAAGAAGGGATTTGAAAGATCTATGACTAAACATAACAGATCTTCATCCGTTCTGAGTAGTTTATTTGACAAAATAAAATTTCGAATTAAACGAAGCTCAGGTCGGAAGAACAGTGATAAACATTACTTCTCATGTCGAAACGGAGTGAAATTCATTTTTTTCTCTTTTCATAAATGCTATGTACTGGCGAATTTAACACTCAACTAGTTACGATCATTCTTATTGGATTACATGGAAAAGAGGGTTTGATTTTCACGCTCCATTTATTCAATTTTAGTAATTTAATGTTCGAACCTTGATAAGCATAAAAGTTTAGCCTAAACGTATTGTAGCGTTCAATTACTGGACTTCAGTGTGAACGAATGATCGAGTATGTGATGAAATAAATCCACCTTTCCACTTCCGTATATTATGCTCAGGCTAATCCCGTTTGTGCGACAGTAGTAATAAAATGGCCAAATACGGTTTCTCGAATGAATATGTTTCATGCAATCATTTATGTAGACAGACGTGATAAGGAAAGCGTACAAGCAAGACGAAGTGCATTGGAGAAGGCTAGTGAGCCAAATCCCAGAGACAAATCATGACTAAGAATTTATAGTCAGACAAATATAAGACAGACAGGCATGAATATGCGCGTAGGCATAAGTAATGTTCAGTCGTACCAGCTTAAAAAACCAGACATTAGTAAAAACCAATGATACATATAAGTTATTGCTATACAAATGGCTTGGTTAAATAAGTTAATCAAAAGGCTTAACCAGATTAAATGTAAGCGAACCGAAATATATGTGGAGGCTCTACATTAGCCTCCTTCCAGCAAACAAGGGTACGAAAGTGTCTGTGTTTGCGAAAAAAAATAAAAATTGTTGGAAAGCATCAAAAGTTACGAAAGTTAAATTTATCTTGTACGAATACGTTCTTGAGGTCGCATACTAACAGATCAAAAAAAATATGGTTAAAGCGGTTATTAGCTATAAAATTTGATTTTAAATAGAGTACATTGAGAGCGAGTGTATGGTACGAAAGTGTAATAATAATGCTGCAAAATATTTAATATCTTATAGGCGTGAACAATTAAGACGTAAATCCGATAAACGTATAAACATTACGGCAAGGCTCATCGATAAATCAAGTGGCTGCAGATAGATGAAGAAATTGTGGTCGAGATCATCGTGGGAAAATTTGCAGAACAATGCTGCGTACAAACGTGATGCATGAACATTAGATGCATATCGCGAAAATAAGTTACTACCATTGAGTGTATGACTCCAAACTTATGTCTGTGATGGCGTTGCAAACCGTTGCCAGCGTTGGGGTAGTGGAAAACATGCGAATACCAGCGTGTAGGAGGTTCGCTTGACTGCTTAGACTGCTGCTTCGTGTGCATGTGTGTTAGGATATTCATCCAATATCCTAAGAGAATTATTGATCAATTCCTATTGGTTAATTCCTACTGGTCAATTTTATGGTCGTCTTAGATATCAATGTCACATACTCCAATGTTGTTTCTTATTGGTTGTCCTGACTGTCAATGTCACTTCAAATGTTGCTTCCTATTGGTCATCTTAACTGTCAATGCCACAGACTTCGATGCTGTTTCCTATTCGACCAAAATGTATAATACGCATTATTTTTAACTTTTTATGACCACGAAAAGGACCAGAGCTCGGTCCAGGATCCCTAGTCCGGGATCCTGATTCTCCTCTGGATTCGGACCTCGTACTTTCTGGATGCTTGTAGAATACATGTTCTACTCCATATCACGTCTTCTTATTTTTACTAAATATGGGGGTTGGGATAATCGGATTTGAGTAGCACGTCGTGTCGCCGGATCCTCGATCCTCGCTCTCGTTTTCTGACTAGGTAAACCCTCAATAGTTCAAGTATATCAAGTTGACGTATTTACGTGCAAGCATAACAATGTGCAAGATTTTCAAGGTACGAGCAGCTGATGAGTACATCGAAGATATCTCCCATGCGATAATCATATAGCCACGGAAATGATGATGGATAATAATTGTCATTGAGCCATTGCTTTGATAAGCGATTCAAAACATAATAATGAGATACGGCAAATTAAATGTAAGCGAACTCACTAAGCAGGAAAGTCGTTTGTATTATCGAAAGAAGTAAATTAATTCCATGAGTTGCGAATGTCCTGCAGTGAATACAATATTCGTATTATGATTCCATATTCACATTTATACGTTAATGATAACGATAATTGGATAATTCGAGAAACAGATTCATGCAACGAAGTGATAATAAGATAATACGATTTTTGTATGTGCATATAAACGCTGAAGTGGCTTTGCAGCTTTCGTCTGATAAGAGAGTGCGTTGTCTGTGTTGTACATCCAGTCTGGTTCGTTGATTCGTTCAGCGAATTCATTAAGTTCCTGAGCTGCTTTGTCGATGTACGGCGTCCGAATTAGTAATATTATCACTGCGTTAATTCGGCGTCGAGATAACCAATTAGTGGTTGCGTTCGACTTGTTTTCGGGATTACCAAATGGTTGGGAGTGTTCAATTTACCTTGATGAGCATAAAAGTTTAGCTTAAATGTATCACTTGATCACATGATCTATGGCATGTATCGGATGTATTCTATTGTCTACTGGATTTTTTCACAGCTCATCGATTTTTGTCATGGATATCGTTATTATTATATAGATGTGGTAATTACTTAGAGTGATATTTTAGAACTTCTACTTATAAAAGGGGATTCTTTAAGTGACCTGAAATATGTATACAACATGATTCTGTTTGGCAAAGACATTGCATTTCAAAAGTTTACAAGAATTCACAGTTGAGTATTCCTTAAATTAGGCCGAGGGTTTCAAAGTGAAACTGGTAGGTCAGTTGGTAAAACATCAAAAATTTATTAACAATGATGGTTACAACACAAGATAAGTATGCATTATCATCGCCTACATTCATACGCAATTCTGAATCACATGTTGATAAAATCTACAAGACTTGCTTATTAAGGGTAAACTATTTTCAAATACAATGTTCACTAAAATATTAGTTTATTATGAAAATGAATTTCACATTTATTTACTTAGTTGCGAACATACACTTACATTATCAATTGCAATGATACCACGAGGACGAATCAATTTCAGACATAATTCATAATAATTACTATAATTCTCTTTATCAGCATCAATAAGAGCAAGATCGAATGTTTCACTTTGCCCATTATCAATCAATTTTTCTGATGACGTACGGATGAAATTAAATTCAATGAAAATCAAACCATAAAATGATTAGTTAGAGCATATTGAATTTATTATGAAACTGAACAAATTGTTTACAAATAATGTTCAATAAAAAATTCATTTACTGGTTATTAGTTGATTTTAATCTAATTACTATTACGACTAATATGATATGGTTTGATTTTAATTTAATCATGAACTGATCAATGTTAGACCACCACTAGAAACCTAGAATAACTGGACAACTGTTCTGTCCCAGTATGTAGTTCATCAGAAGTGAGCATTCACAGCCCGATCAGCTGGAATAGGACACAGTAACTTCGGTCTCACACACAAACTCTTAGCCCCTAGACCATTGAGACAACATCTAACTAGTTTAACATGTGACTTAAATCAATCCGTAAGTGGAATTTCGGAGTTCCAGTGAGAATCTTTGACCGGTGCAGTTCAACTCTGTCAAGTGTGAGGCGGTAGTGAATCACCAAACAAAATGGATGATTAATTGAAGTTGAAAATGTACACTGCTCGATGGTGGTTAAGCGTTCAGGTACGAGAACGAAGATCCTGCGTTTGTTTCCCACATTTGAGTAGTATGCGTTTCATACTAGTGTGAAACAAACGTCAAGTATTTCAAGGTGTCCAGTAGTTGTATTCCATTCATCGATTCATAATTTCAATGAAACTCAACAATTTTCACAACTACATATTGACAATTATCTTTCTTATTTTAAAATAAAAAGGTAAATTGATACCGCTTTGATAAAAATCACAGTCACAATTTCCTGAACTAATCTACACGGAATGACACATACTCCTTGATAGTTAAGATTGAGTTTGTGAGTTGAATTTGTTAATCCCATTGATCTCATCATCAGCAAAACGTAGAACTTTGCACGTAAGTACATCAGTTCACGATGCCATACCATATTCGTACAGAGATGTAATTGTCAATTCAAATCCCATAGTTATAGAGGTAGTAAAAGTATTAAAAGTAATCGGAGAGGTTAGGCTTCGAACATGTTATTCAAGAAGAATAGTTCAGTGAGGTAAACTTAGAAATAGAAAGATAGAGGTGATGAGGAATTCAGGTTAGAATTTGAGAGAACACAAAGAATAAATGTACCGGCGCCATTGCAAACGATTCTGAGCCATGTCATTCAGGGTCTCTAACCATCGATTATTATCATCGACAACTACCGACATGGCTAAGTCCACTTGTCAATGACTTCATGGATTTGTGCCATGTTTTGGTCTGGCCGCCCCTAGCTTTCTTTCAACCTATTCCTACACTACAAAACAAAGCTCGTCGAGGCAGTTGGTTGTTAGGCATACGCAACACATGTCCCAACCACCTCAACTGATGAAGTTTCACCACTTCATCGATTGCTCTCCCATCCTTACCTAGTACTCGTTTCCTAATAACGGCGTTGCTCACTCGACTGTCCCACGATATACGAGCAATGCTTCGAAGACACCTATGATCGAAAACCAGTAACCTACGAATATCTTCTACTCTCACTGGCCATGTTTCACAGCCATAAAGTAAGACGGAGCGAACTACTGCACAGTACACTCGTCCTTTAGTCAGCAAACGGATATCTCGTCTACGCCGTAAGTGACTCAGGTTGACAAAAGCCAATCGAGCCTTCTGTATCCGAGCTGAGATTTCGTCAGTCACTAGGCCATCAGCACTAACGAGACTACCCAGATAAATGAAGCGGTCAACACGCTCGACTACTTCACTCCCTATCACTAGTTCAGGTGCCAATGCAACCCAGTCTTGAAGCAACATTTTGCATTTCGAGGGGCAAAACCGCATCCCGAACATGCTTGCATTGTTGCTTAGGGTGGTCAGAAGACTCTGCATTTTGTCAGCGTCTTCAGCAAGTAGGACTATGTCATCGACATATTCTAAGTCGATAAGCGAGCCTCCTGGTAGAAGGTCAACTCCCGAAAAATCTGACGAGCTTAATGTTAAATCTAAGAAGATGTCCACGACAAAGTTAAACAAGAATGGAGAGGGTGGACAGCCCTGATGGACACCACTTGAAGTAGAGAATTCCGGTGACAGTTCGCCATAAGCTCTCACTCGACCTGTGGTGTTCAAGTAGAGAGCTTGCATGAGGTTAATGTACTTCTTTGGTACACCTTTCAATGACAGACACTGCCACAGAACCTCACGATCCACAGACACGAATGCCGCCTTAAGGTCCAGGAAGACAACTATTGTAGGACGTCTAAATGTGTGTCTGTGTTCCAGGACCTGTCGTAGTGTGAAGATGTGTTCTATACAGCCACGTCCAGGTCTGAAACCAGCCTGGTTTCCCCGAGCACTAGTTAGGCGTCTAAGTATAATGGAGGCTAACAATTTAGAAACTATATTAGTTATACTTATTCCCCTGTGGTCGTCACAAGAGGACTTTTGTCCTTTCTTATAAATTGGGACAGTCAAGGATTGGGACCAGTCAGACGGTATTACGTCCAGTTCCCAGATTCTACCTAAGATCTCAGTCAACCTAGCTACCAAAACTGGACCACCATCCTTAAATATCTCAGGGGTCAGTCTATCAGGACCTGCAGCTCACCCTCGCTTCAGATTTCCTACAGCTTTCTCAACTTCATAACGAGTCAGGGGAGTACGTCGATTTGCCATTCAGGATGACTGGGGATTGTGGGCAACCGAAATGTGGCTCGAGGCCAGTTGAACTGATCCCTAATGTGTTCTGCCCATCGGTCCAATCTCCTTGGTTGAGAATGGATAATAAGACCATCCTTTTCCGAAATAGTCTCACTCACATTCGGGTTCCTAATACCAGTTTCTTTGATGAGTCTAAATAGTTACCTACTATTGCCTATCGGCGTTGCCTTTTCCAACCAACACTGTTCTCGATCATTGCGTAGGCTTTTTGACAGCCTACGTCTAAGCTGACTCCGCTACTCGTCACAGTCAGATCCAAACTGGACGAGCTTTCGAGCATTTATCAATCTATCCATCTAGTTGTTCTTGAAATATATTCTTAGCTTTATTATCATTGAATAGAACCCCAAGAGGTTTCCTTGCGAAATTTTTCTTACGTCCGGTGAGATGCAAACAAATACGCGTGCGCATTAGACCATGGTCTGAGTTTAAACAAGTGTTCCAAAATGAACGGCAGTCTTCAACAGAACCTCTCCACTGATGACTTATATCGATGTGATCTAGTTGGGTCGGCCTTGGAGGTCACGAGGACAAAAGTTGTTTCACCTTATGGTTTAAGTTAGAGTTTGCTAGGAATAGGCGATTATCTGAGCATAGCTGCGGCAGACGGTCGCCATTATCTGTTCTATTAGCAGCGACACCATAACATCCACCTAGGTGTCTTTCCTTTTCTCTGAGTCACCTTACTTGAGCGCTAAAGTCAACAGCCATTAATACCATATCAGAGCGCTTAACATTTTGGAGGAGTTTAGAGGTTTCTACTGCAGTCAGTAGGAGCGTTGGCAGAAATGACGAAGAAGCAAGTGGGAATGTCCCTATCCTTCCGAGTCCGTACCATCCCGTTTAGTCGGACGGCGCGCAAGCGACTGTGTAAAGGGATCCAGTCTAAGAGAGCTAGTTATGCCCTAGGACTTAATACTATACCTACGCCGGCGAGGCCACGAGAAGCGGTATCAGGGCTTCCAGAAACACGAAGCGTAAAACTTGTTGTGTCTCTACCTGCACTACGTGAGATCAAATTGATAATTTTACTCGGATCTTGTATGGACGTTTCGGAGACGCAACATACATCGGTCGCTCCAGATTCCAGCTAATTCTAGCTAATAAAGCCTGTTGCCCTTTTTGACACAATGTCCGAACATTAAAAGCTCCTATACGTAATTTTGTACGGGGTTTCAAGAGACCAGGAATAATGTTTTGTGTTGGGGATGTTAGATCCCCAAAATTCGCTTGATAATGCCGTATTTTGGTTTTCACGTTTTGCCAGCATGGGCTGATCAGATGACCTTGAGATTTCAATTCCCACCAGGAAAATCCATGGCTGTGATTGGCTACTGTGTATTTTAGTATGCTATTTTCTTAACTGTCTCAAGGACGTTCCTATGTTGTATAAATAAACGAGAGATGTATGCTTGATTGTACCGTGCTTGCTGGGTGTTTGTAGAATATACTTTCTACGCTTACAAAGCCTTTTTACTTCAGCCTCGGATTCAAGGTAGCCTCCCTGGAAGCTGGTAAAAGTCTCGTTCGCGTTTATCGACTAAGGTAAACTCGTAATAGCCTCAAGCATACTAAGTGACGAACTTATCAGTGGCGACGGTGCTTTTGGAAATATGGATCCTGCCAAACTTGAATTATTACTTGAGCAGCAGCTGAAACTGATGCAGATGTTGACAGACATGAAGATTTCCCCTTCCGCACACCCCAGCTCATCTAATGCAATAACAGCTGCATCGGTCGACGGCATCGCAAATAGCATAGCTGAATTTCATTATGATCCTGATGCAAATGTCACTTTTGACATGTGGTTCCGGCGTTATGAAGATTTATTTAAATTTGATTTCGCTAACCAAGATGATGCTTGGAAGGTTCGGCTGCTACTTCGAAAGTTGGGCGCAAGTGAGCTGGATAAGTACTGTAATTTGATCCTGCCTTTGAACCCACGAGATTGTTCGTTTTCTGAGACTGTCCAGACTTTAGGCCAACACTTAGGAGACAACTCGTCACTATTTAATACTCGTTATCGATGTTTGAAGCTAATTATGAACGTTGGCATCGTCAACCGTGAATGCGAACGCTTTCGGTTGAAGTCTTCGTCGGAAGATCAGTTCAAAGCCCTTATACTCATCTGCAGCCTCCAGTCTAGTAAGTTCAGTGACATTAGAACAAGGCTACTAAGTCGTTTGGAGCAAGATCCGAAGCTTACGCTTAATGATATGGCTCATGAGTACCAACGTCTCACTAACCTACAACGAGACTCGACTATAGTTCAGAGTGGTAGTTCAAGCCGATCTGAAATTCATTGGAATGCAAAGTTGCTTTCCGAGATTCGTCGTTTACTGGGGTATGCTATATAACGCCAGCTGATCTAAATTTACTTGGTTTAGATTGGTTCGACCAGCTAAAATTGGCTGATGTCCCGTTAAATATCATATGCAACCTGGTATCACAACCACATGACCCTGAATCATATACGAAGAAGCTGATGGCAGAGTTTTCAACCATTTTTGAACCTGGATTAGGTCGGTGCACTGCTATGAAAGCAACACTTCGGTTGAAACATGGGGCTAGGCCTGCTTTTCGTCCAAAGAGACCTGTACCTTATGCAACATTAGCAACAGTAAATGAAGAGCTGGATCGCCTTCAACGACAAGGAGTTATTACTCCCGTTTCTTACTCCAGTTGGGCAGCACCTATAGTCGTTATCAAGAAGGCCGACGGCACGATACGTATATGTGCTGACTTCTCTACAGGTCTCAAAGCAGCTCTAGAACAGCATCATTATCCTCTGCCAGTCCCAGCAGATCTGTTCACTATGCTGAATGGAGGAAAGTTCTTCGCAAAGTTTGCAAGTGGAAGTCGATGAAGCATCTAAAGAGCTGCTTACTATCAACACTCATCGTGTTTTGTTCCAGTATAACCGTCTACCTTTTGGAGTTAAGACTACCCCATCTATCTTCCAACAACTAATGGATACTATCCTGTCAGATATCTCAGAGGTTGCAGCTTATCTCGATGATATCTTGATTGTTGCGAAGACGTTAGAACAGCTAAGGGAATGCACAACATTGGTACTACAGCGCATCAGTGACAATGGTTCCCGGTTACGCCCAGAAAAATGCCAGTTTCTATTGCAATCGGTAAAGTATTTGGGATTCATCTTTGATGCCGACGGTCGCAGACCGGATCCTGAAAACATCCGAGCTATCAAACTGATGCCCACTCCCACTAATGTTTCCGAATTACGATCTTTTCTCGGTTTAATCAGTTATTATTCAGCTTTCGTTCCCTCGATGCATGATATTCGCGCTCCATTGAATTGTCTACTGCAGAAGCATAGCACATGGAACTGGACTAAAGAGTGTGACGCGGCTTTTGGTAAACTCAAGTCTATAATTAGCTCGGAACTGTTATTAACACACTACGATCCATCCATGCCGATCATCGTAGCAGCAGACGCTTCAGCATATGGCCTAGGTGCTGTTATTTCACATCAATTTCCAGACGCGTCGGAAAAAGCCGTTATGCATGCATCCCGTACACTGACCCCAGCAGAAAAGAAGTATAGCCAGATAGAGAAAGAAGCTCTTGCCCTTGTGTTTGCTGTTCGCCGTTTCCATAAGTTTCTGTACGGTCGGAGATTCACGCTCCTCACAGATCACAAGCCTCTGTTAGCAATATTTGGTTCAAAGTCTGGCATTCCAGCCCATTCTGCAAATCGTCTTCAGCGATGGGCCTTGGTACTTTTGGGGTATGATTTCGAAATCCAATATCGACGTACTCTACAATTCGGTCAAGCAGACGCTTTGTCACGACTCATTAATGATCAAGTGGCGGCTGAGGAAAACATGGTGATCGCATCTCTGTCAGTAGAAGACCACGCAGAATGTTATCTGACAACCGCAGTTCGCGCATTACCGGTGTCTGCAACAGACATACAAAATGCTTCTAGAAACGACCCCAGACAGTTCCATCTTGGTCATCCTGGGATTAAACGAATGAAGTCCATAGCCAGGAGTTATGCATACTGGCCTCACATGGATCAACATGTCACAGCGTTGGTTGAAAAATGAATGAGGTGTCAGCAGGCGGCAAAGATGAATGCCGAAATTCCACCGGTTTCATGGCCCAAACCTGAGCATCCTTGGTCCAGGATACATGTCGACTTCGCTGGCCCAATAAATGGAACTATGTATTTAATTGTCGTCGACGCCTTTTCTAAATGGCCGGAAATCAGCCCCGTTATGCCGCCCACTACAACTAAGACTATACAGCTCCTAACTGAAATTTTCTCACGAAATGGCATACCAGATGTGATCGTATCCGACAATGGCTCTCAATTCACCTCTTCCCAATTCCAGAATTTCTGTCAACGGCTAGCTATTAAACACTTACGCTCGCCACCATACCACCCGCAATCGAATGGGCAGGCGGAAAGGTTTGTGGATACGTTTAAAAGAGCACTGCTTAAGTCAAAAGGGGAGGGGACGCCAGCCGAAACGTTACAAAATTTCTTGTACGTCTATCGGACAACACCAAATGAATTGTTACCGGAGCAAAAGTCCCCAGCTGAAATCCTGATGGGAAGAAGATTAAAAACGATCCACAGCCTGATGCATCCAACTAATGCACCCTCATCAGTAGAGACAAAGCAGCAAAGACAATCCGCTTACGAAGTAGGATGCCCTGTGTTTGCCCGCGACTACAGAACGAACCATGGTCCTTGGGTAGAAGCGAGAGTGGTCAGAAGGGTTGGTCGAGTTATGTACGAAGTAGAGGTAGGAGGTGATAAATGGTCACGTCATCGGAATCAGATACGCAGACGGCTAGCCCCAGATCGCCCATCAAGAGCAGAAAGCCTTCCCCTTGACATCTTGCTTGATACCTTCAACCTACCGAGAGCCCCGCCACGAGAAGAAGCGCACCAGCAAGCTGTTCTTCGTTCCCGAAGGTATCCCCTCAGACAGCGGCGAACAATAGTCAAGATGCAAGTCGACCCCAGGAGAACACGCTATTAAAAAGGGGAGGAGTGTTGGGGATGTTAGATCCCCAAAATTCGCTTGATAATGCCGTATTTTGGTTTTCACGTTTTGCCAGCATGGGCTGATCAGATGACCTTGAGATTTCAATTCCCACCAGGAAAATCCATGGCTGTGATTGGCTACTGTGTATTTTAGTATGCTATTTTCTTAACTGTCTCAAGGACGTTCCTATGTTGTATAAATAAACGAGAGATGTATGCTTGATTGTACCGTGCTTGCTGGGTGTTTGTAGAATATACTTTCTACGCTTACAAAGCCTTTTTACTTCAGCCTCGGATTCAAGGTAGCCTCCCTGGAAGCTGGTAAAAGTCTCGTTCGCGTTTATCGACTAAGGTAAACTCGTAATAGCCTCAAGCATACTAAGTGACGAACTTATCATTTTGTGAGCTCATACCGTTTGCTTCAGTGGCGTGAGGTGATAAACAATCAAAAGAAGGCTTGGTCGAGGAGATAAGAGAGTTATTAAGAGGTGTAGAGAGGATTTGACTGTGATTAATTCGGTCTCGTGTGCTTTTATAGGTATGACGACGCATATTACTTCCCGGCTGCCCACACCGTGGAAGGTTGTTTCTAGAGGAACCTGAAAATAAAGGTAGATTAGCGTTGAATCTAACGACCTGGGAGCGTGACCGCAGAGCCCATAGGACAACTGCTTGAGGCCGGTCACGCACGGCCTTTTTATGAGAGGTTTTTTGAGTACTAACTCCGCTCCTAAAAGCCATGATTTGGAAGCCCTTGTCGCCGGAGACGGAAATCCGTGAGTTAGGGTGAGGTGTGACATTTTTAGGGTCGACCTATTCTAACCCTTCCTTCCTTGTGAGAAGGCAGCATCGATGCAGATGCTGGTTGTCCGAGGGAAACACCCTATTGATGTCACACCCCCTCTGAGGTCAGCAGTACGACTTCGCCCTCAGACCCTAGAGTAGCTGCTTTTAGTCTCATCGTTCTCCAATCAACCTGCCTGGCATGGTGGAACCTTCAGGAACATATGTTCCAGCCAGTATAGCTCGGTTGGGTCATCACGATAGGCAAGCCCGACCACCACGTCAAGGTAGCAGCTACAGTCGGGACGTTGATCTGAAGTAAGTATCAGACTAAAAATGAGCATCAATTTGCAAATCTGAAACATAACACGAATAATTGATAAATACAAATCGGAAATTGAAACAAAAATTCATGTTCATATAACTTTTTTAATGAAAATGTTTCAATTTCATCACTTACATTTTATACACTTGCCTCAAATCATAAAAAATCCCTAAATGATGCTTTAGTTCCATTATAAATAACTAGATGTATTACTCATTGATTTATTTTCTTATCCATGTTAACCCTGAAAGAACATAGGCCACCGATCAAGCAATCTGAAATTTAATTCTGTCCACTCTTTCTAACGATAAGGTAATGATGGTCCCAATGCATGTCAAGGGAAATGTTGTCGACGTATGACATAAATTACCAATATTTCACCTAAATAATCACTATAAGGGTATATATTTAAACAAGAATTGTATAAAATGTGTAATATTGTTATTATACTTACCTAATGTTCGAATAGCTGGACCGAGTCGAAAATCAATTTTCGATTCTACACCAGCCATTTTCCATGCTGGTATACAATAATCTTTCAAATATTTATCCGTTATATCTAAAGCTAGTACACATCCATCTGATGGTAATACTTCAGCGATAGACAATGCACTATATCCAGTAAAAACTCCTACATCAATTTCAAAATGATGAATGTAAACACATGTGTTAAGAATGATTGATTGTCGATGCGATGTACAATGATAAATCAGAAAATTAGCCAAAATAACCAATTTTTGTTTTAAAAATTTCACTATAATTTAATTAAACGATACCTACTGAATAAAGCTGAAAGGAATTGAGCTGAACAACCAAAAAAGACATTGTGAACGTCAGAAATGTTATACATCATTAATGAATAACAGAAAAATTTGTTTCACTTCAAAGTTAGAAGAAAAAGTCTGAGATTTGGAAAGAAACTTGACAGTATTAAGATTACACTACAAATGTGTTACTTGAACAGATAGATAGCAGTTAGTTGAAACCAATCATGAGGTTGATATCAAGTCAGCTACTATAGTGTTGAACGGTATATACTAAGGTTCCTAGAAGCCTTGGCTATTCGAAAACGGACACTCTTTATATGTGTGCAAAAACAGTTTGTTTTCTTAACCTTAATCTAATCTGATAAATTCGATTTATTATCGAGCTTGTGAATTTTATTACTACTGTTATTAGTGTTATTATCTTTGTTTCCTTAACTTTTTAGTTTGTCTAATTGACCTTTCATACTTAATTTTCAAGCACAACGTCTTGACAAGTATACATGTTATGTGATTGTGGAGATTGTTGAGTTACTTACTGAGTCAGTCAGTCAGTCAGTTGCAACGTAGAACTTCGTACGTATGTACATAAGTTCATGTTGCCATACCACATTATTAGCACAGAGACGCAAATGTCAAATCAAATCCCATGGTGATAAAGATGGTAGAGGTATTAATGTTATAATAAAGAAGACTACGGTTTAAGATATTATTCAAAAAATATAATTCAGTGAGATAAGGTTAGAAAGACTAAGGTAGAGATGCTGGCTAATCCAAAAGATTAGGATTTGAGAGAGCTCAAAGAGTGGATGCACCTGCGCCATTGCAAACGATTTTGAGCCATGTCGTTCAAGGTCTCTAACCATTGGTGACTTTCGTCTCGCGGACCCCAACCAGAAAGCCTACATCTACCAACATGACTCAGTCCACTTGTCAGTGACTTCATGGATTTCTGTCATGTTTTGGTCTGGCCGCCCCTAGCTTTCTTCCAACCTACTCCTACACCACAAAACATAGCTCGTCGAGGCAGTCGGTGGTTAGCCATACGTAACACATGTCCCAACCACCTCAACTGATGAAGTTTCACCACTTCATCGATTGATCTGCCATCCTTACCTAGTACTCGTTTCCTAACGACAGCATTGCTTACTCGGCTGTCCCACGATATACGAGCAATGCTTCTTAACATCTATGATCGAATACTAGTAACCTACGAACATCTTCTACTCTTAACGGCCATGTTTCACAGCCATATAAGAGAACGGAACGGACTGCTGCGCAGTACACCCGCCCTTTGGTTAGCGAACGGATATCACGCCTACGCCATAAGTGACGCAGGTTGGCAAATGCCAACCGAGCTTTCTGTATCCGAGCTGAGATTTCGTCAGTCACCAGATCGTCAGCACTGATGAGACTCCCCAGATAAGTGAAGTGATCTACACGCTCGACTACTTCACTCCCTATCACTAGTTCAGGTGCCGAAGCAACCCAGTCTTGAAGCAACATTTTGCATTTCGAGGGGGAAAACCGCATCCCGAACATGCTCGCA